GTCATATCTGCATGGTTGAACGCAAATAAATCCTCACTAGTTATTAAGAATTCACTAAGTTTACATGGTTCTCGGAGTTTGAAGCCGATGTAGGCTTTTTTGCTGTAGTCACTGGGATCTAATTGAACGGGGTCGAGGTCCTCTATAGTCGAGTCTGCGGCTTCAAACGTTTTAGGATCCATGATGACGTTCCTATTCCTTTCTTATGTCGTCCTCGGCCCTGTTGATTTCTATGCTTCATTTTCCTTGTATTTCTTCTGTTGGGTTGTCGTGTCATCTAAGGTGATATGGTAGCATTCCTGGGACGTACGTTGTTCTTCCCGTATGATGAATATCCCCTAAGGTATTGGATATTTGATTACTTAATATAAGTTGGAGGGGATGACTCTCATGGGATGTATCTATGGTCGTCCTACTATGGCATTGTATGCAGTTGCCTAGTATGTGGAATATCGTCACTAGCGTTATGCCGCTGGACAAGATGGGGAGTGTAATTTCTCCTGATGTCCGTTCAACTGCATTATTAAAATTTGTTAGTGTGATACAGCGTGGCACTATCTTGTCCTCGAGTCTCATTTGGGTGAGGACTTGGGGATGGATAATGCATGTTCCACACCCATCGTCTACCATGATAAGTTTGACATAAGTATCTAAACTGTGCAAAGTAATGACGAGAGCATCATTGCGAGGGAAAGTCAAACTGCCGACATCTAACTCGTCGAAGATGATACTTTCTTTGAGTCCTCATACTGTTCGTGGATGATAGATCTTTTGGGCTTGTGAGTGACAGTGCATTTAATGCCGTTGATAGAGGAGTTGTCGCTTCCGCCGATGATCATGTTGATGGTGCGAGCTGGTGACGGTGGCTTCTGCGGGCCTTGATGTACACGTCCCCTAGCGAAGTTGTTTCTCCCCTTATCGCTCATTATCTCTTTGAGGTGTCCTTCCTGCAACATGTTCACAACCTTTCGCTTGAGGGCGATGCGGTCTTCTCTCTCTTGTGTCCGCGCTCCTAGTAGAAGTCGCAGAGGGCGTCAGATTTTTTGGTGCTCGGATCGAACTTCATCTTTGGCGGCCACTTCACCTTCGTTCCGAGTTTCTCCAGGGCATAAACTATTTATGTAGGTGACACACAAAAATTGTGAACAGATAATAAGGGGCATATCTCTCTCGTCCCGGTGAGTCCCCGTTCTTGGCCTAGATGGGCCTTCATTATAGCGGAAAAATGGCGGGGCGGGGGCCCTGACGTATGGCTAATGTTGTTCCCTATTCAGTTGTGAGACTGGGTGTTCCCTCCTTATGTTATCTCTTCGTTCTTTCCTGGACTCGGCTTGTACCAAGACGAGTCGTCGAGTTGGATGAGGTCGTCATTATCTGCTCTAACTTTGTCACAATAAGCATTGTAGATTTCATCCCAAGTGGTTGGAGGATATTTCATCAACCGGCTCAGCAGTTTTCTAGTCCCTCTTGAACTATCTCTTCTCAATCCGTTGTGAAAATCCACGACCGCCATCCCCTCGGACACGTTTGGTATGGTCATCCTTACCTTGTTGAATCGGGCGAGGAAGTCCCTCAGTCCCTCTCCCAAGGACTGCTTGATGGCGAATATGTCGTTTACTCTTATTTCGGCTTTTTAGGCTCCGACATACGCCGTTACGAACTTATTGACCATTTCTTTGAAGGTTTCTATGGAGCGGGCTGGTAGCTGTGAGTACCATGTTAATGCCCCTCCCGTAAGGGTTTCACTAAATTTATTCGGCAAATAGAGGACACTTGTTCCTTGGTGAGGTCGTTGCCCTTCACGGCGGTGACATGATGAGTCACGTGATATTCGGAGTTAGTCGTTTCGTCGTATATCCTGAGATACGACGGCATTTTGAAGGTCTTGGGTATGACATGTAAGGCTGCTTCCTCGTTGTACAACTGCTCTATGAATCTACCAGCGTCCCTCTTTGACAGTATCTAAGGGTGCCCGATATCTTGTCGACTCGTTCTTAATGTTCTTTCATTTGATCTCAGAGCACTTTATTTTCATTCTCCATTTCTTCCATCCTCTTTAGAACAGCGGCGAGGAAGCTATCACCTGCATTATTAGTTACATTGTGAGTTATACCTGGTATTGAAGGGTCTGGTTGGTCGCCCTGTTCGTCAGCTCATTGCACTATATGGGCCCTTGCAGTCTCTGTCATGCATGGAGCGGGCTTGTTGAGCACGCTTACTAGCGTATCGGTTAACCACGCTTCGAGGAGCTTTTTCATGGTCGGTGGCGTCCCTTCTCCTGTGGACGTGGAGGCCCCTTTTTCATTTGGTTTTATTATGCTACAATGGGGGGAGGGAGGAGGCGACCTCTCGTGCCTGGGGGAGGCAGTGGGTGTCACATCATCGCCTAATGTTTCACAGCTCTCGTTGATAGCGTTCATGAGGTCGCTAGGGAAATCACGGTCATTTTAGTCTTATCTCCTTGGTTACCTTCCATGTAGGTTTCCGTACGTGCAAAGAAAGAGAAAGATCTTGGGATTTGTTAGGTTAGTGACTCGCGTTAGCTGTAGATCTAAAGGAAACTAAAAAAAAGTTAGCTAAAAATTCCGCATGGAAGGCGCAAAACTGTTTGACCTAAAATATAGATCTTGGTTCAACCAATTAGATTAAAATAAAGAGGAGTCAATCTTAGTTAATAATAATATAATATCTAAAAGATAAGGTTTTATATATATATATATATATATATATATATATTTGACCGAATGTAATGAATTTGATCAATAATAACAGTATTCAATGATCCAAAAAGATGGAAGATAACATTAAATAGTCATAAATAGCAATAAGTGGCGTTTAAGTAAATAAAAATGTGTGAGTCACCCGAAAAAGTGTGGGATCTGTGGATATTTCATTCTGACAATGCAGAAAGATTGATGAGCCTTAGAGTACTCAGATTGTTCTTGGATCAAGTGAAAAAGCTAGACATGAATATTGGTGAAAAGGTTATTTTTGTATGCTTGTAATATCAGATTCTCTCTACAAAGTCAATGTGTTTTCTTACAAGTGAGATTCTCATATCCCCTATCATTGTGTCTCTTTCTATTTATAGAAAACATGTTCCTCGAAACCGTAATAGTACAGGTGCAGAGAATATCTACTAGAATATTCTCTTTAGTGTCCTATCCTAAAACTAACCGTTATAATTCTGTCTAAGATGCTCGACCTCGACCTTGATCTATGATGATTTCACAACCTTGATCTTTGCAGACTCTTCGACCACACCCTTCATCGCTCCGAGGCCACTTCGACCTGGGACAGATCTTTATGTCGAGACCTAGCACGTGGCGCCTGATGAAGGCTATCATGGTGCTGACGTGGCTTGCCTGTATGAAAGATATTTTTTGGCCCATACACAATACCCCAACAATCAAAGTCTTTAAAAAAAAATAATTAAACAAAAATTTTTTTACGGTAACACTAGACGTAAAGAAAACGTATTTTCCTTTAGAGGAGAAAAGGAATATTAAAACAAGAATATGAGAACATCTGGAGTACCTCCTAATGATGAGATTATATTTAGGTAGGTGAAGTAGCCAAAAATGTCCGAGTTGAGATGTGTAGCCAAAAATGTCCGAGTTGAGATGTAATTATGTGATAAATTTGTTACAAGAACGTTCAATTCTTACTAAAGGCCTATACCTCCCCCCCCTCCCCACACACACGCACACAAAACACAATCTCCCTGCCATAACAAATACTAGTAACAAATAAAAAATGCTAACAAGGCAAATATGAAATAGTTTTGTCCGTCAATAAAATTAGATTGATGAGAAGAAATTATTTATTTTATATCGATCTTCCGAAATTATCCCATTTTATTGACCAATATATATACCACACACTTGGATCGTATGATTTATGATTTATTATACGGAAAAGGTCCAAATATGCCCTTGTACTATACGAAATTGAGCACATTTGTCCTTAGTTAATACTTTGGCCCATATATGCCCTTACCATCACATAGTTGGTCCATATATGCCCTTACCGTCACATAGTTGGTCCATATATGCCCTTTTCGAAAAGGAATCCGCCCTCTTTCTTTAATTGTATTAAAGTGTATTACAAACACTATTTCCTTTTTATTAGTACTTTTTTTTCTTTACCTTTCTCTTTTCTTTCTTCTTTTTTCTTTTCTTCTCTTTTTTTTTTCCTTTTCCTTTCTCCCATATTCGATTTCCTCCATTGATGATGCCTTCTCTATTTTCGTCACCAATTTCACGTGATTTTATTCCCAAAAATCAAACCTACACCACCAAAAGCTTCCTAGCGAGAAGGCTCTAGTTATTCAAATTTGATGATGTTGTTTTCTGTGGAGCTTCAGATCTGAAGGGAACAAGACCTTCAAAATCTGAATAACCATATCCTACTTTCGTCCTATTTAACCACCGACAAAATTTCTTCGATAATTTTCATCTCCTTCAGGTCAGAAGAACCTGTAGGGTTTGTGATAGTAAGTTTAGCAGGAATTCCTGAGTTTTGTCAAGTGAAATTGATGACGAAAATGGAGAAGGCATCAGCAATGGAGGAAATCGGATATGGGAGAAAGAAAAAGAAAAAAAAAAAAGAGAAGAAAAGAAGAAAGAAAAGAGAAGGTAAATAAAAAAAAGTACTAATAAAAAGGAAATAGTGTTTATAATACACTTTAGTACAATTAACGAAAGAGTTAATTAGCTTTTGGTGGATTCCGTGACGGTAAAGGCATATATGGACTAATTATGTAAAGCTAAGGGCATATATGGGCTAAAGTATTAACGAAAGACTAATGTGCTCAATTTTGTATAGTACAAGGGCATATTTGAACCTTTTCCGTATATTATATAGGAGGTTTAAGAAGTCTAAGTAAAAGAAGGAACTGTTAGGCAATTAAGTTTTGAATCTTTTTATAGGCCGTGCATGTCTAAACATTATATACTACCTTGGAACTTTTGCTAATAGTTTTGTGATTCGACGAGCGCAGGAAGAGGTTTTCCTTGTATGGCACGTCGTTTTGGGGGACCTATTTATTTCTCTATAAATACTTGGCCTTTTCCCACCTCCAATTACTTCTCTTCCTAATTAATTTCCTTTCGTTTTTCCTTAATTTCCTTCTTAATTTTCCATTTCATCTATACTCCATTCTTAGGGTTTTCTCATTTCTTGGTACAATTCATTTCTTTCTCTTTCCCTCCTTCCATCTTCTTCTTTCATTTCCCATAAGGAACAATTTTCTTTATTTTCATTTTATTTATTAAAATCTGCATGCTTTTGTTTCTTCTTTTAGTTCATGACTTTGGTTTCTAACAATTCTTCTTGGCCTTCTAATTAGATAATCTACACTGGTTTTTCTGGATTCATGGTTTGCACATTCACATTTTCTTGAGCTCTTTCAACCAGGTATTTAATTTGATGTCGTGTAACTACGATCTTTCTTTTCTCTCTTAATTCAGGTGATCTTTTCTCATGCATTTCTATTAGAATTAGATTTCCCCATAAGTATCTTCATTTGGAACCTCGTGATTTTCCCTTTTCGGAAATTTTTGCATCTTTCGTACCTTTAATAAACGACGATGGCGTACGTTTCTGCGGAGTTTATTTTGACCGATTAAATTTCTGTCTTTTGTACGATCATTAATTAACCATATAGTACTCCTTATTATAGTATGTTTTATCAGCTAATAGTAATTTGACAGCACATAATCCTTGAATTCTTTGTTATATTATTTAAATATTTTAGTCTGTTGGGTGTAGGGGTGTGTATTCGATTTATCGATTCGATTTTTGACCCTTATCGATAATTACTTATCGATTATCGATTTGTACATATGCTTATCGTTATCGTTTCAATAAGGTTTCTTTTTTTTCGATTTCGATTTATCGATTTTGGGGACTTATCGATTCGGTTATCGATTACACCGATAAGAAAATTTGCGGGATTCCACGGAAAGTATATCGCTATAAATGCGCCTAACTAATATGGACAAAAGAAGCTAAAATAAGACGAACACCATTTACAATATAAAAATTGTGTCAACAAGCACATGCAACAAAACTAAAGTAAGGGATCAAATGTATGCCACCAACACTCCAATGGTATAAAAAAACAAAACAAAACAAAAAACATCATCACGGCTAATTCTGTTTTCCATTAATTTGAACTTCATTCCCTTGATCTTTAAATATGATCATTCCTTAAATGTGGTAGAGGAAATAATAGGGTAAGGGACTTAGGGTAAAGGAAAGGGTATAGATTAGGGAAAATAATATTGTATAGCCGCTTTCAAAATAGTAGCGGAATATATACATTCTGTATGTTATATTAATCTACACAAATAGGTAATTACTCATTTAACAAGTGTCTACAGTCTAGGGGTGTGCATTCGATTTATCGATTCGATTTTGACCCTTATCGATAATTACTTATCGATTATCGATTTGTACATATGCTTATCGTTATCGTTTCAATAAGGTTTCGATTTTTTTGATTTCGATTTCGATAACAAATAATCGATTCGATTTATCGATAAACCGATTCGAATGCACACCCCTAGTTGGGTGCTGCAAGATATTGAAAATCTTTGATTATGTGTCAATTTCAGAGTGAATTTAAGTTATATATATTGACAAAATATAAAAATGTTTCGCAAATCGCACTATGTAATTTAACTTATTGATTATATTAAGTTACTTATCACATTTACCAAGTTCTTAATTATTGTTTATAATAAAGATTTCACTACAATTATCTTATAAGTGACCTAATTAAATTAATATCTTTTATCTGTCATGTTTTAGCGCGGAAAATGGAACTACCCTTAAATATAGAGTCAGCTGATTCTTATTCACGCCCTCCTATGTGTACTGTACATTTTTCAAATATTCTTTCAAGTCAACTGCAGGGAGTTTAAATTTTATTACGTGGTAGACAACAATCTTTACAGTTAAGTACTACCGGTTTAATAGTTTCATATCTTGCCCAGGTATTTCTCTCATTCATTTTTATTTATTGTTTTTTGTCAGGGATTCTTATACTTAGACTTGTATTATTACAATTGTTTCTTTTGCCTCACTTTTCTTGTTATCGTTTTGTTGTTGGCACTGTTTCGTGTTATTATTTTCTTTTCAACAAATAATGTGACTATGCTTCTCCCGAGTCGAGGGTCTATCGAAAACAAGCTCTTTACCTTCACAAGGTAGGATTAAGGCGGCGTACACACTACCCTCCCCAAACCCCACTTATAAAATTACACTGGGTTTGTTGTTATTGTTGTTGGTCAGGGATTCTTATGAGCCATGCTTAAATTTATCAGCTTCTCCTAATTTTCGTGGCTGAATTGGTGTAAATAAAGTTGTAGAGAGGTTTAGTTCAATAAAGTTTCTTCCCATTAAAGGCAAAGAGTATTAATGATTAACTTTATGCTTTGTGGCTACCTAAGTTGCTCCGACATGGCAGTTTAGGTGCCGCACCCGTGTTGACACGACACTAGTATGGGGGTGGGTATGGGATCCGTAACGGATCTGGTCAAACAATTTTGGGTACTTTGACCACGGCATATGAAAAAATTCGAGACGAGATACAATTTGATTCCCGAAATCAGAACCAAAACTAGGGTAAATTGAAAAAATAGCATACTTTATCTAGAAAATCAATCCCTTATTTATTTACAACTTGAAAATAGAAAATAATCCACAATTTACAAGCTATACGTAAGTATTCCACAAAATTTCTCATAATTTACAGATATTTTTATATTTTTGAATTATTTTTAGCCGGATCCCCCCACTCATATCCGTACTAGGATCCGTATCCCCGAATCTTAGAATCTACATCTCGAAGGATTTGACCTCTAGATCCGCACCCGTGTCCGAGCAACTTAGGTGGCTACTAGCGCAAGTGTTCATGTTTGTCACAAGTATAATATTTTGCCTTTTTACTTTTGGTGGGAAAAATGGAATATCTCCCAATCTAGTGGAGGATGCATGACAAAATCCATTCTTAATGAATCCTAATCTTTTGTGGTTTCCTTGTGGTTTTAATTTCATGAATATGAGTGAAAGTAGGAAAGTTTTGTTTGTTGTGTAAGGAGTCGCTTGGTTGGGAAACAAGTTATACCGGGATTAGTTATTCCAACCTTCCACAGGGATAAAAGTAACATTATGATCCCGGGATAGCTAATCCCGGGATTAGTTATACCGTGATTTTATTCCAACCAAACGTGGGAGAGAAACTCATCTCAAATTTAATCCGGAAATTAATTATCCCTTAACCCTTGTACCATACGAGCCTTAGATATCTTAGGTGAAAAAGTCTGAAATGCACCTTATAATGTTCTTCACATATACCTTTAGTGGAACTTAGGCTGAAAGAAGTTCATTCGATGTATAGGATTTAGACATGTGGTTCTAAGTGTAGAGTGTGAGTTCTGAAATATATTCAGCTCAATCTATACCTATATCTATACTTGTCTTCACACACACACACACACGCATGCAAAGCCGATATATAGGATTTTAGAGGATAACTGCTGAACCACCAGAACACCTCTGGATCATACGCTAAATGTGTATACATATATCCTATCGAGGGAATTGAGTCTCTTGAGCTTCGGTTACCAGATAAACAATTGGATACATTTCAATTAATAAAATGGTTATTAATACTCTTTGACGTTTGGTTCAAAATCCTGAAAGATCAATCTTTTTTTATGAAAATTCATAATGATTATTAGGCTTCCGCCACTGTTTAGTGTAAGATCAATCTCTTAGAATGATCCTTTTACCATTAGAAGGTCCACCTATAACAACAGATTAACCAATAAAACTGGTCAATTGGTGAGAAAGAAATTTTATTTCTACTTGAATACTAGCCGCAACTACCGTTGTGATAGAAATGGAATCTTTCACACCCTTTGTAGAACAACAGGACAGTAAGACATCATACATCCCGTAGGACATGTATTGAGATAGTTGTGCAAAGTAAAATCTTATCTCAGGATTTTTTGTTCTGGTCTTCTGTTTTCTTCGATCTGCAAATAGTTTTGAAGCCAACCAACAAAATGCCTTCCAAATTAGAGCACTGATAATATAATGTTGTGTCCATATTGAGATAAGGGTTGGGGTGCAATTTTTTCCTCTGTTGATATAACTTACAATTTTCATTCGTTAATAGTACAAGATTCTTTTTTGTTAAGTGTTACTATAACATAGTTTAGTCAATACTTTTGCCTCCAATGGTTTTCTAGATTTTAGTAAGACCATGACATGTATAGGTTGTTTATATGCTCCAAATTGAGTGTTACTATAACTTTGTTTAGTCAATACTTTTGCCTCCAATGGTTTTCTAGATATAATAAGACCATCACATGTATAGGTTTGGTTTCTTCTCTTCAGGTAGAAAGCACAGAGGCCTTAACTAGTATCAAAATTCTGAGCCAAAAGTGTTTTGTTCCCTAAATGCAGTGCAGTGCGCCTCTGGAAATGAGGTACTTGCACAGATGAATTTATATAAGTGGCTCAATACAACACTAATTTTAGAATCATGGCGCCTGAAAATTTATGATTGTCCAGATTTCAGGAAGCCTGTGATTGATGGACAGCATATGCAGCAGCAGCAAGAAGAAAAAGTTAAAGAGGTGGTTTTTCGTTGACAAAAGGGTGGGATAGAAAGATTAGGTACTCCATACACCTACTAATATTCAGTGATCTTCTACATAACGTAATAAAATTCAGTTAAATTCTGAGACATTGAATGGACTTGAATTCAGCGAAAGCTTCTTCTATTCTTACGGATACTTCACTGATAAACAAGTCTAGATTTCGGATCCATTCAAATTATTGCCTTATTCACAATCGGGAGCCTTCAATCTCCACTAGCGTGCTAATGATTCCGAGAAAGAAGCCAGGGAAGATTGATGATGTTCGTTCTAATGGTTGGCTTGATGCAATGAAGTCTTCTTCGCCTCCTAGTAAGAAGGTTCAAAAGGAAGTAGACGTCAAGGATTATTCAGATGATAGTGATATTGTTTACTGCTCTTGGATGGTATGCTAGATATTTTCATTGTTTTCCTAATTTTGCACACCTGTCTATCCGCATAGACAGAGTGAATGTCAAATATGTTATAATCAATCGTCTCTTCTCCTGTTGTTTGTTTGCAGTTCAAGTATCCATCAGCTCTTAACTCCTTTCAGCAAATTGTTAGCCATGCAAAGAATAAACAGATTGTTATCTTTTTAGACTACGATGGGACTCTTTCCCCAATTGTAGATGACCCTGACCGTGCTTTTATCTCCGCTGATGTAAGTAACTCCAACTTTTTCCTTATTGCAAGTGAGAAGCTTACCTGCAGATGAAAAGAAATTAAAAATCCTGCAGATGCGTTCAGCTGTCAGGGATGTTGCCAAGTATTTCCCTACAGCCATCATCAGTGGAAGAAGCCGTGATAAGGTAAAATTCTTAGATTAACCAGTAATCCAGGTATTGTTAGTGTTTACGCCATCTACTTTCTCAACCTCTTTTCATTTGCAGAAATTGTGATTTATGTTTATTCTGTTTCAGGTTTATCAATTGGTAGGACTGACTGAACTCTCTTATGCTGGTAGTCATGGTATGGACATTATGCTTCCAATCAGAAATGATTTGTGCCGTAATGATTCACTTATTAAATCCATTGACCAGCAGGTATTACAATTTAATTTATGAGAGTCGTAATCTTCATCTATTGCCTTGTAAAGACTGACATTTGTCTCTTTTTACGCATGTCTACCTTACTTTCTAATAACTAGTTCTACTTTACGTTTTGAGCAGGGCAAGGAAGTTAATCTATTCCAGCCTGCTCGTGAATTCTTGCCTATGATTGACGAGGTGTTTTACTTGTTTCTCTAATAAGTAGTGATTGGCACCAAATGACAAAAAATGAATATTATCAGACCTGAACTGAATGAGCTAGACTCTTTTGCAGGTTTTTAGAACCCTTGTCGATAAAACTAAAGAAGTAAAAGGCGTGAAAGTTGAGAACCACAAGTTTTGTGCCTCTGTACATTACCGTAACGTAGATGAGAATGTGAGTCTCATTCCTTGCTGTTTCATGATGTCTCTGAATTCTGAGGTTAAATTTACCTTCGTGACTTATTTCGCAGCCAACTTATGGTGATATGGTTTTCATTTTAAATGCAGAGTTGGCCAGTCGTTGCACAATGCGTCCACGACGTCTTGAAAGAATACCCTCGACTACGACAAACTCATGGCCGGAAGGTTTCTCAATTACTTGATTTTGGTAACATGATTACATACATTATTGTAATTTGTTGAAATCTTGCTTCTTTTTTGTTTTTCAATAGGTTTTAGAGGTCCGTCCTGTAATAGACTGGGACAAAGGAAAAGCAGTTGAGTTTCTGCTTGAATCACTAGGTATGTGAGTGTTGGTTTAGAGCACAGAAAAGTGGTGAAGTCAATAAATTTTAGAATGGATTGTTCTGTCCATGTTTATCAACTATATGCACAACCATGCAGGTTTTCGAAATAGCCATAATGTGCTCCCTATTTATATTGGAGATGATAGAACAGACGAAGATGCATTCAAGGTAATTAATATACAACAGAATCTCATGTCAATACTAGTGGCCTTACCATTTCTTCTGAAATGAAAAGAGTATATTTCAAATCCAGGTTTTGAGGGGGAGATATCAAGGTTATGGGATTCTTGTTTCGGCTGTCCCAAAAGAGAGTAATGCTATCTTCTCTCTCAGGGATACCTCAGAGGTGAGAATATGAAATCAAGCCACATTTTTGTTCTTGATGTCAAGAAATGTAAAGTACTTTCTTGATGTGAAATCTAAAGTCTGCAATTCAAAATCATATGCAGGTCAAAGAATTCTTGAAATCTCTTGCAAAAAATATGGAAAATCAAGAAAATTAAAATAAAAGGAGGGTGAGGGAAGCAGAAGGGATACTATAGATAAGAAACACTACATTAGGTTTCTGGAGTTTTATGAATAAACTGAAGCCATTTCTTTACCATTCTTCCGGTATATCTGTATGGGCCAAAAATTACCATACTTATGTGCGAGCCTAATCGATATTAAGAAAGCCTTTGGAGGCCGCCATATGTTACCAATTTGGTTTCAACGAAGGATGAAGGCGAGGTCGAGGAGTCAACAGAGTTCGAGGTCGAGGACGAGTACTCCCCTTAATAGAGCAGTAACCGCTAGTTTTAGAAATAAGACTTTAAAGAGAATATTTCAGTGAATATTCCTGGACTATATACTATTAGTGTTTTGTGGTTCATGCTACCTTATAAATAGAAAGATATGTAGTTATAGAGGGTGATTGGACACTCATTGTAAGAAACAAGATATTGACATTTTCTGAAGATTCTTGCTTTATTACATATATATACAAAATATACCTTTTCTTTAAATCTATGTCTAACTTTTCTCCCACGATCCGAGGAGAGTCCGAATATTCAAAGGCTCATCAATCATTTATCACTGTCAGGAGGAATATCATAGAATCTCACCCCATTTTTTGTTACCACATTTGCATTTATTTACATAAGTGCCATTAAATATCATTTACTACTATTAATGCTATTCTCTTTCTTCTTGGGCCATTGAACACTATTTATTGTTACATATTTGCTGCCATTGAAACGGAACTTGTGATATTCTACTACGAAAACAATTAAACAATCTTTTGGATATTAATAATGGCTAAGATTAACTATTCTATTAGAAAATTTAATTGTTTAAACCTAGATCTAGATTTATGGTCAAACAGTTTGGTGCCGTCTGTGAGAATTTTCTCAGTCAATTTTCTAGTTTCCACTAGATCTACAACTCACGTGACTTGTTAATCCAACAAACCACAAGGTTTATCTACCCTCTTTGTGCATGCAAAAAGTTCTGTGACAAGTAACCAAGAAAACGGGACTAGAACAACAGATAACATTCCCCTTAACATCATGAACGCCATCAAAGGCTATGATACACTGGGCGAAGAAGTGACGCCCACTGCCTCCCCAGGCGATAGTGCTCGCATGCCCCTTTTTGCAGCACAACAAAACAAAATAGGAAAAGAGCATCAACGTCCATGGGAGAAGGGGCTCCACCTGCTATGAAAAAGCTCCTCGAACCATGACTAACTGGTAATTTAGTCAGTGTACTTAGCAAGCAAGCTCCATGCACGGCTGCAAAAACCACAAGAATCCATGCAGCACAATGTGGGAACAAACAGAACAACCAACTAGACCCTCTAAATCCAGGTAAAACTCACACTGGTACTGACAATGTAGGTGACAGCGTCCTCGACGTTGTGCTAAAAATAATGGAGGAAATGGAAACGAGAACAAAGCACTCAAAGACCAATTGAGAGAGCACCAAGAACGGGTAGACAAAATACCAGGTGCCCCTAAATTATTACAAAAAAAAAGACGCTGGCAGATTTGTGGAATAGTCGTACAATGAGGAAGCGGCCGCACATGCCATACCAAAGACCTTCAAGATGCCCCTATATCTCAGAATTTACGACGGGACGACCGACCCTGAATATCATGTGACTCACTACGTTACCTTTGTGAAAGGCAACGACTTCACCAAAGAACAGGTATCCTCCATCTTGCTGAAAAAATTTGGCAAAACCCTCACTGGAGGGGCGTTGAGATGGTATTCACATTTACTAGCCCGCTCCATAATAACATTTGAGGATATGGCCGACAAGTTCGTAACGGCCTATGACGGGGACAAGAAAGCTGAATCAAGAGTAAATGACATCTTTTCCATTAAGCAATCCCCAGGAGAGGGACTGGGGGACTTCCTTGCCCGATTCAATAGGGTGAGGATGACCTTACCAAATGTTTCTGAAGGAATGGTCATGGCAGCTTTTCAGAATGCATTAAGCAGAGAAGGTTCGAGGGCGACCAGAAAGCTTCTGAGCCGACTGATGAGTATCCACCAATCACTTGAGACGAGATCCATAATGCCTACTGTGCCAAAGTCAGAGCATATGACGACGACCTGAATGGACCAACCAGACAGCTCACCTCGATACAATCTGAGCCCAGGAAAGAACACAGAGATAGTGCGAGGAGAGACCACCAAGTGTCACGGTTGGGCAGAGAGCGACACCAACCCTATGTCAGGACACCCTTTCCTCTTTCTGCTATGGAGATGGCCCGTCTAAGCCAAGACCAGGCACTCACATGAACGATCGAGGTATGCCCCCTTATTATCTGCTCACAATTTTTGCATATCGCTTACAGAAGTGGTCTATGCTCTCGAGAAGCTCGAAACAAAAGTCAAATGGCCGCCCAAGATGAGGTTGGACCCAAACACAAGGAAATCCAATGCTCTCTGCAAGTTCCATCAAGAACGTGGACAATAAATAGAAGATTCAATCACTGTGAGGCTAGAGGTGGCAAACTTGCTGTAGCAAGGGCACCTCAAAGAATTGCTCGGCAACAAAGGAAGGAACACCACGGCGAGGGGTCGAGAACGCCCAGGCCCACAAAAGACCCCTTCACCAGCTCGTACTATCAATATGATTATTGGCGGCAGTGACGGTGCCTCTATCAATGGCATCAAATTCACCACCACCCACAAGCAGAAAAGATCGATCGCTCAGGAATGATATGGCATACTCGAAGAAAGTATCATCTTCGATGAGTCACATGCCGACGGTTTGACTTTCCCTCATAATGATGCACTTGTCATTACTTTACGGATTTTAGATGCCGATGTTAAGAGAATTATGATAGATGACAGGAGTGTAGCGTGCATCATCCATCCTCGTGTCCTTGCACAAATGAGACTCGAGGACAGGATAGTGTCACGTTACATCACACTAACCGGTTTTAACAATGCAGTTGAACGGACTTCAAGATAAATCACACTCCCCGTTCTCGCCGGTGGAGTAACTCTATAGACGATCGTCTATATCATGGACCAAGACACCGCATACAATGCTATCGTAGGACGATCATGGATACACCCATGAGAGTCGTCCCCTCTAGTTTATACTAAGTGATCAAATTTCCAACACCTTAGGGGATATTTAGCATACGAGGGGAACAACGTACATCCCAAGAAAGCTATCGAATCGACTTGGACAGCACAACACTCAACAAAAGAAAGAAAATGAAAAGGAAGCATAGCAATCAGCAAGGTTAAGGTCACCACAAGGGAAAGCTGAGGAAGTTATCATGGACCCAGAAACCGTCGAAGCCGCTGAGTCAACCATGGAGGACCTTGACCATGTTCAATTAAATTTTAGCGACCTGCAAACTCAAAGAACCAGGTAAATTTAGTCAATTCTTAGTAACTAACGGAGATTTGTTTGCCTTTAGTCATGTAGACATGCCAGGTATCCCCAAAGAAATCACCATACACAAGCTGCATGTCGACCCCCTCTACCCCTCGGTAAGGCAGGTCCGACGAAAGTTCAACCCCGCCATCAATGAGTCCGTCAACGAAGAAGTAGAGGAGTTATTGGCGAACAGATCCCTTAGGGAGGCGAAGTACTCCAAATGGATAGCCAATGTGGTGATGGTAAAAAAGAAAATCGGAAAATGGAGGATGTTCCTGTTCTTCGCAAACCTAAACAAAGCATTTCCAAAGGATTCATTCTCACTACTACATATCGACCAACTCATCAACGCAACGGCCGTGCACGAGTTGTTAAGTTTCCTGGACGCCTATTCAGGTTACAACCAAATACTCATGGAGGAAGAGGAACAAGAGAAAATCACATTCATCACCTATAGTATAACATATTGTTATAGGGTCATGCCATTTGGGTTAAAGAACGCAGGGGCCACCTATCAAAGGTTGGTCACAAAGATGTTCAAAGAACACCTTGGCAAAACCATGGAGGTCTATATTTACGACATGCTGGTCAAGTCCGTAAAGGCAGTGGAACATACCAACCACCTAAATGAAGCTTTCGATATACTAGAAAGTACGAAATGAAATCAAACCCTAAGAAATGCGCATATAGCGTATCCTTAGGAAAGTATTTAGGCTTCTTGTTATCACAAAGAAGGGATACAAAAACAATTGAGCACTAAAAAGCAAGTCCCGAGACTGACCGGTCGAATTGCCGCCCTATCCAGAATCATCTCGCGGTCGTCCAATAGACGTCACAGGTTTTCAGCGTACTCAAAAGGGATAACGGCCTCGAGTGGACGACCGAGTGTGTACAAGCACTAGAAGAACTGAAGGCATACTTATCGTCACCGACCCCCCCCCCCCTCAAAACTTGAACCTGGGGAATGCCTCCTTTTCTCGGAAGTAGCAGTAAATGCGATCTTATTTCTTAGATAGCAAAGGTACGTAATATCCAATTTATTATATCCGCAAAAAATTTCTTTGCGCCGAGAAGAGGTACCCTCACCTTGAGAAACCTACCTTGGCCCTGGTCGTAGCTTTACGAAAGCTTAGACCCTATTTTCAGTGCCACCCTATATCGGTCATCACCATTTTTCCTTTAAGAAGCATATTGCACAAGCCCGAGCTATCGTGGAGGCTGGCCAAATGGCCCATCGAGTTAAGTGAGTGCGATATCACTTATCAGCCTCGCACAACGATAAAGTCGCAAGTACTCGCCGACTTCATTGCAAAATGTAGCACAAAAGTAATGCCGGAGGATGAAAAGGAAGCCACTCAAGCTTCTCTTCAGACACAAGACCTTTGGGTCTTGCAGACCTATGGCGCATCCAATGCATGCGGGTTCGGGTTGGGACTCGTACTCGAGATTCCCACCGGTGAGATAATTCGCCAATTAATAAGGTACCTGGACATGACTAGTAATGAGGTCGAGTATGTGGCCATAATTGCAGGAATAAGACTGGAACTTAAGTATGGAGCGAAGCGATTAAAGATTCATTGCAATTCTCAGCTCGTAGTCAACCGGGTTACTAGAACTTTCCAAATCAAAGAGTAGAGATTGCATAAATATTGGACCGAGATCCGTAGATTGTTACCAGTTTTGATGAATGCCAGATCGACCAAATTCCACAAAATTAGAACTTCGAAGCAAACGAATTCGCCAAGTTGGCCGCCGCCACCAAAAGTATAACCCCTTGGAATAAGAGTGTAGTTCACCTCCTCAGTTCAGTGTTGGACCATATCAAGGTAAAATCTGTAAATCTGACTCGGGAATGGTGTAATTGCATTATAAACTATTTCTAGGATATCACCCTCCCAGGCGACAAAAAGAAAGCCAAAAGGTTGAAAATGCAAGCTGCCAGATACAACCTCTTTCACAACGACTTGTACAAGAGAACGTACGACGGTCCCTTAGCAAAATACTTAGGCCCTAACCAAACCAATCGCGTCCTCCAGGAAGTCCATAAAGGTAATTGTGGCAGTCACTCTAGTGATCGAGCACTCGTCAAGTGCCTTATATGGGCCGGGTATTATTGGC